ATGGACTGTGTGCCTGGGGTCCGAACACCCTGGAGGCCTATCCGTGGACCCAGGGCTGGTGAGAGGTGACACACTCAAGGACAGACTTAGTGCGGGACCCTGGCCAGCACCTCTGAGTGGCAGATTGCCCTCTTGTGGGTAATAAATCTTCAACTTTGGTTTTCAACACCAGGAGGCATCCTGGACTTTGTCATGACCCCACACCACCCACCCTTCTTTCACCCACCTCCATCTGCTATGGACAGGGGTGGCACTGGGGTCCTCTTCCCTGTGCACTTCTCCACCCCCACCGGCAGAACCAGCTTGTCTGAGAGGTGAGGAGTTTGGCAAAGGAGGGCAGCCTAGCCCACCCATCCAGCTGCCAGGCCGCCCCAGCTTCTCTCACCCACAGAGACCTTCCCCACGGACATTCACACATGGCCGCCTGTGGCTTAGGGCTGTAGTCAGCCCAGCATATACCAAGTCCTCAAGTTGTGATGCTAGTGGGGTGTTCAGTGCCTAGCTTGGTGTTCTAATTGGGGTGTGAACACAACTGCAAGGCACACTGGGCGTGTCACTGACCTCCGACAGCACAGGCCAGGACAGCCTGGAGCTGGGAAGGGCTACCTCACTGCCCCAGTGCCCATCCCAGCTGTTCCCCACCCTCCTGTTCAAGCCTCACCACTCCCGCAGAGTTGGGGAGAGGGGGAGCTGCCAGGCACCAGTGCATAAGAGAGTGTCACTCATGCAGGGGTGGGGGGATGGGACAACAGCCAGAGATAGGTGGCTTTCTGAAGCTGGCGACACCAAACCCAGGCAAGAAGAGGGGCAGGGGGAGCATTCCCGAGGGAAGGGCCAGCAGGGACAGGCACCCAGGGTGCAGAGCCAACTCAGGGGTCTCTGGGAGACCCCACTAAGGGAGCATGACCGGCTCCTGTCCACTCCAGCGCCCCAGCCCAATCATGTGGATGGCGCCCCTTCTGCTTTCACCCCTCAGGTTCCTGGTCTTCTGGTCAATTCTTTCAATGTATTTCCTTTTTGTAGTTCAGTGGAGTAGTTTCTGTTGACCTCTCCTCGCCTCATGGATACACCCACTGCCACTTTTATCACCAATAAGCCCATTCAGCAAGGTTCTCCCCGTGATGGCATCTGGTTCTTTTTTATGTCTCTGCTGAGATTTTCCATTTGTTTCAAGGAAACTTCCTACTTGCTGGACCAGTTAGATTGTAGCTGTTCTAAGCCCGTCAGGCACCTGGCACGTCTCCCACCTGGGTGCCGGCTCCACTCAGCTGCGGTTTTCCTGGTGTGACAGGTGGTCTTTTTATTGAATCCTGGACAGCTAGGCGTTCGTGTTTAATTTTTTTATTTTAGCAGACAGCCATCCTGTGTGGGTTCAGCACACAGGTCCTGGGCTACTTTCGTGACCTTGGCTCCAGTGACAGCATAACGTTGGGAGGCTTTGGGCCATTCATTGTGTTGGTCTCATGGGGCTGGTCCCTGCTGGGTTTCCCAAAGTGGGGATTGGGAGAGGTTTCCTAGTGGGGTCCCCCTTGCTAGCGCCCCCTGCACTCCCCCTGTAGTCTGTGGGTTGGGGGGCTGGGCCCAGTGGGGAGGAGTATGCTCCCCTTGGCCCCTTTTCAGGGGGCCTCCCCGATTTCCAAGTCTGCCAGGCACCCCAGTCAGCAGGACTGTGGTCCTGTGCGGCAGAAGATGCCCACCTGGTCCTGGTGGTAGACTGGGTCCCCTCCGGTCACTGCTGTCCCTCACTGGGAATTCTTTTTGGGTAGTCTCGGTTCCACCATTGGCCGGGGTGGGGGCGCAGCGACCAGCCCCTACCATCTCATCCAGACCGGGAGCCTCAGGCCCAATGAAGGGCTTTTGGTTTCCGGTTGCGGCCAGATGGCAGGCAGCTGTCAGCAGTGGAGCTAGGAAGGGGCGGGGACACGCCTGGAGGGGGGCTAGGGAGCAAGAGGAGCAGGCGTCCCTGGCAGGGGGACAGGTGGACGGATTTTCAGTGACTGAAGGGACGCGATGCAGGACGGAGGTTGGGACGTGGTGGGTGGTTCGGGCGCAGCGGAGAGGTGCCCAGCAGGCAGCCCCTGGCTCCACCGCAGAGGAAGGGGGG